GATGTCCTAATTTTGCCTATTTAGTGGCTGGAAAATGCTTTTGCCCATTTTTGTTTTGAATCCTTTGTCTTATTGATTTGTAGGAGTTTCTATATATTGGATACTAGTATTTTTTCAGTTATATTTATGTTGCAAATATTTCTATCCATTTACGACATATATTTCCACTTCATTGTCTTTTGATGAACTGAATTCTTCATTTCAATGTAGTTGAATTGGTCAATGTTTTAAATCAGCGGTACTTTTTGTTCTCTTATTTGATAGAACAAAGCTTTGTTTTGAACTTTGAACTTCTATTTCGAAGTCATAAACATGTCTTAGTAGGTTATCTTTTAAAAGGTGTGAACTTTTACCTTTTATAGTAAAGTTCTTAATCCATCTGGAATTGGGTTTTTGTAAATAGTATAACATCAGGGTCTAGTTTTATTTTATTTTTCTAATTTGATGACCAATTTTCCCAGTACCGATCATTAAATAGTCTATCCTTTCCTCAAAGATCTGCAATGCTGACTCTGTCAATTTACTGTCTTTTTGGACATCAACAGTCCTGTAATTGGGCTTTCTATTTTTTTGTATTGGTTGCTTGTTTATTTCTATGCTAATATGACTGCCTTAATTGCTATTGCTTTAAAATATGTCTCCATATCAGGTAGAACATGTTTCTCCCTTAGTCTGTTAATATAGTGAATCACATTAATAGATTTTAAAAATGTAAACCGCTGACATTCCTGGGATAAGTGCAACTTGGATAAATCCCTGCTGGATTCTTGCAAGTCTGTTTATGAATTTTATTGAGATGTAGTTTTTCTTTTTTATAATGCCCTTTTTTGGATTTGATATCAAGTGTAGAGTAGCCTGAGATATCTAATTAGAGTATATATAGTAGAGATTCTAACTTCCCCCAACATCCATTCTCCTTCTTTCTAAGCAACAAGAATCCTGAATTTTAGCTCAGAGTATTGATATCCAGCCGAAAGGCCACATTTCCCGGGCCCTCGCCACTGGGTTTCCCCATGTGACTATGTTTGGAGAATGGAAGAGAAGCAAAAGTGTTGCATGTGATTTAAGGAATTGTTTTTATGGACATGCTCTTAAATCCCTCCCTCCCTGCTCAGATGTGATGGCTCTGGCCTAGCAACCATGCTGGGCCCTGAGGGTGAGTTCTACACCAAGGCGGGGGCAGACAGCTGAGCTGGAAGTAGCCTTAGCCGTGGGGAGGCTCATGGAACTACCAGCTCTTCCTTGTCTACCTTTGGGCTTACTTTTACTGAGAGAGAGAGAGAGAGAGAGAGAGAGAGAGAGAGAGATGTATTTCTACTAAATTTAAACTATTAAAGGAGTGATCCTTCTCCCATTTTTTTTTTTTTTGAGTCCACCTCGGTAAATTATAATTTTTAGTACTTTATTCATTTCCCTAAGTTTTCAACTTTGTAGTAGTTAAGGATTTAAGCTCTAGAGCCAGATTGCTTGAGTTGGAAATCTTAAGCTCCTTCATGTTCATGGAGTCGTGTTGAGTGGGAAACTTATTTGATCTTTCTGAGTCTCAGTTTCTTCATCCATGAAATGGGGATAATAACAGTATGTACCTCTTAGCATTGTTGGGAAGATTAAATGACTTAGTGAATGTAAAGCACTTGGAAGAGGACATAGCTTATAGTAACCATTCAATTAATGTTAGCTATACTTTTATTACTATCTTTACCCCTTTGCTTTCTTTGAATTTGTTTTCCTTTTCTAACTACCATGGCCGAACATCTGGTTCACGCATTTTCATCTTTTTTCTTTTCTTTTTGTTTTTAAGAATTTTATTTTTAAGTAATCTTTACACCCAAAGTGTGGCTCCAACCGCTCCAACCAACAATCTGGTGATCATGAGTCATATGTTCCACCGACTGAGCCAGCCAGGTGCCTCATCTTTTTTCTTTTCTAGTAGAAACATTAAAGGCTATACATTTTCTTCAAAGCACTATTTCATGCACAGTTTTTTTTAAAAAAAGATTTATTATTTTTAAGTACTCTCCATGCCCAGTGTGGGGCTTGAACCCACAACTCAGAGATCAAGAGTTGCATGCTCTACCTACCCGGTCATCCAGGTGCTCTTTGCATAGTTTTGATACATAGTATTTTCCTGATTCTTTAAGGCTGAGTGTTTTTAATTTTCCATATTATCTCTTTTTTGACTCTGAGTTATTTAGAAGTATTTTTAAAAATTCTAACTGTATTTTTTTGGTGCAAGTTATCTTTTATAATTGATTTTTAACTTCAATGCATTTTGGTTGTGGAAGGATACTTATTCTTTGACATTTGTTGAAAATGCTTTAAAGCCTACGCTGTGATGAACTTTTTTTTTTTTAATATTTTTATTTATTTCTAGGAGAGAGAGAGAGAGACAGCGTGAGCAGGGGAGGGTCAGAGATAGAGGGAGACACAGACTCTGAAATAGGCTCCAGGCTCTGAGCTGTCAGCACAGAGCCCGACGCGGGGCTTGAACCCATGAACCGCGAGATGATGACCTAAGCGAAAGTCGGACGCTTAACCGACTAAGCCACCCAGGCTCCCCTGTGATGAACTTTTGTAAATACTTCATGTGTGTGTATGTTTTTTTAATACTTCATGCGTACTTAAGAAATATACATTTTAATTGTGTGCACCATTCAATATATGTCCATTAAATCAAAACTGTTTCCTTTGTTGTCTAACTCTTTCATACCACACTTTTGTTTTCATCCACATGATATGTCAACAGTGAGAGAAATGTACTGAAATCTTCCCTAGCATTGGAGGATTTGTCTTAGCAACTTGTTTCCCTCCAGGACAGTGCAAAGCAAGGTCAGCTTTTTCTGGAGGTGATTTGCTTTGCCTTGCTGTAAAGCCATCCAAACACGTGCATTTATTCACATTTCAAAGCCACTTTATTACCAAAATGAACAAAAGGAGAATGCTGTTTAAATTAAATAAATTACACAAACATCTCGAGTCCCCGGTCTTCCCCGGGAACCCCCTCATCACAGGTCAGTATCACTAAGAACATTCAAAAGTATTGAAATTCTGGATTATTTCACCATCTTGCCCTCCTTCTCTGCCTCAGTTGTGTCCAGAGAGTGGTCTCTTTGAATTTGCTTGTGTTCTTTTCAAAGAATTCCAACGGTGAAGTTTTCTTCAGTGTCTCCCTCTCCCCCATGCGTTTCCAATTTTACCTCCACCATTTAGACACTTGGTTCAAAGGACACCTCTGCTTGGCGTGTCTGTAGGCTCTGTGACCTTCCCCCACCTCCTAGGCCCGAGTTGGACTTTGAAGGAGGTGGAGTAGGGGAGGGTGAGTTGTCATGGCTAAGGTTCTTGCCCTCCTGGAATATGGCACTTCGGGTGCTGGGCACGGTAAATCCCAGATAACATTGTCTTCCGCCTTCCAAGTTTTGAGTTCCATTGGCAGCCAGATGGCATAATGAAATCACAGAGAAGCAATGCTCGAAGGCCAAGAATCTGTTGGCTCTTTGCCAGCACCCTCTCCTTTAACTCTAAAAAGACTCGCTAGCTGACCGGCTCACTCAACACGCAGACACACAACGCAGGTCAGGCTGAAGTTAGGAACTGGGAAGTTTTTTTCAGGCTGGGCCAGCCCCACCTGTTGGGCAGGGTCCATGAGTTGAAGGAGCTTGAGAGAAGCAGTGGGGAGAAGACTGAAAGGTTTTCTGTGCACTTCCCTGGAGATTTCCCCAAACACTTGCACGTGCAATCTATTTATTTTCAAGTCAACAGTCAGCTTCCTCTCTGACCCCCTCACATATATGGAAAACATACCCCTCTTCTCATCTCCCCTAGAAGAAAATGACCTCAGGTCCTGAGTTTGTTAAGGAACTCCATGGAGGGTGACCCAATCTGGATCAGCCCTTGCCACATCCTGCACCCAGTGGGTGACATGGCTGGCCCTTGGGAGGCTTCCTCCCCTGCCTGGTTGAAGGACTCAGGCCCCAAGCTGATAAGGGAGAGTTAATAAAATCATTGGCTCTTTGCCAAGTGAAAAAGCACAAGGCAGACTTCTGAAGCAGGGGAGGCAATTCTGAAGTCACGGGGACCGGCAGGGCTCAGGTCCCACCAGTTGGCCCTGGGTTGGCACTAGCACCCCCTCCCCCTCCCTGTCTCTGTTCAAAGAAGGATCCCAAAAAGCATTTATGCAGAATAACTGGTATCTGTTACTAGGTTGCCAGAAGATTCTGGTAGCTACTCACCCTGTCCTTTTTGGATTCCTACCTGCCCTCAAGTGGAAGGGAACAGCCCCTGAAAGCACAGAGTGATCATGTTTCAGAGGGTGGGCTGCCTCTGGGGAGGTATCTCTGGTGGCCTTGAGGGCCCTGGCCAACCCCCCAGCCTAGAGTCTGAAGCACTGAGTAGCAGTGGACGTTCCAGCAGCCTTGAGATGAGGAGGAGGAAGGGGACGCAGTGGTGAAGATGAAGATTCCGGGCTGTAGGGAGCACGTGGTCCCAGGAGTGCAGAACTTCCAGGGACGGAGCTGGGCAGCCGGAGGGGACAAGCTACATAAGCAAGTCCATCTCTGTGTCTTGTGATAGCTTGACACCATCTGCCACCAAGCTGTGCAGGCCCAAGGGCGTTTGCACCCTAGGTCAGGAGGGTTGTCCTTTCCCTTCTGTTCCTGGCTCACTCTTAAAGTCGGCAGTTGGGGTGGGGGGTTCCTCATCAGTTGCCTTGGGCAGGGCATGGGTGGGTGCGGTAAGGTGAGCAGGAGGCTTTCTCCTTCCGGCCAGGGCCCTGAGGGTCAGCAGGAGGGTGAAGAGGTAGCTCTCCTTCCTGCTGAGGTTGGCTGGCTCTAGAGATGCCAGGAGGGAGGCAGGGAGAGAGGAGGCAGGGGAGGGGAGAGAAGAGCCCAGGTTCTGGTGGACGTGTTCTCCTCCACTGGCCACTCCTTGTGACCTCAGGCTCATCCTTCTTGGGGTCCCAGAGGCCACACCCTCTGGAGGCAGCATGGGGACGGCCTGGGCCTTCACAGGGCAGTCAGGGTCTCTGCATGAAACATACTCCCGAACATTTCCTGCGGGACCACGGAAGGACAGGGGAGGGGAAGGGAGAGCATTAGACCTGTTGAGTTCACAGTGGCTGCAACCATGAGGTGACCCTACGGGCCGCTGGCCAGAGAGAGCTTCATGAGTAAGTGTGAGTGTGAGTGTGAGTGTGTGCATGAACAGAGGAGGGGAAGGGGACAGCCTAAGAGGTGAACTGGTAGAGGTGATAACAGAAGATGTGTGGGATCTACTTTGAATCACCTCTGGTGTGCTCTGTGACCTCCATGTGTCACAGTCCTTTTTGGCTTTGCTTTCACTGGTAAGTGAAACGATGGTGGAGATGAGACAGGTTCTGAAGTCCCGTCTTGCTCTGATAAGCTATTGGGAGCCTATGCCAGGGTTCTGGAATGTGCTGGAGATTTCACAGGGGCACAGAGATCAGTGCTCCCAGACACATGTTCAGTGGACATGGAACTCAAGCCCAAAAAGGGTGCGAAGAGGAAGTGAGATGTGATTTCTGGCAGGCCTAAAGCCAGACTCCTCTAAACCTAGAATCTGGGTTTCTTTTACTTCAGGGCATTGGGCTACTTTGTCAGGATGATAGGGCCCCAGTAACACTTTGCATCTGCACAGTCCTCAGTGCTTAAGGGCTGGCTACACGCAGTAATACTTGTACCCCTCGAACTCATCTGACCTCACCCCTATCTAAGTTTCCTAAGGGCAGGGTCTTTGTTTTGTTCACTGCTGTCTGCCCAGCCTGGAATGGTATCAGGCACGCAGTCGTTACATATCTGTTGAATTAATGGAGGGCATAGGAGCCCCCGCTGATTCTGTGAGGTGGAGGGGGCAGGTATCACCCATATTTCCCCTACTTTGGAATGATAGAAACTGAGGCCCTGTGCGGTATGTGGCTTGTCCAAGATCACATGTCGTGTCCGTGCGGTATGTGGCTTGTCCAAGATCACATGTGGACACGACACAGAGTTAAATGGTTGTTCCTTCTCAAGAGCTCCCTCCAGTGCCTCTCCCTTCCCCGGTGATGCCTTTCAGGGAGTGGGAAGAATTAGGATCTGCTGTTACAAGAGAGGCGAGAGAGAAATGTTGCCTTCAAGGCGGCTGCTCTGGTTTGGAGGTGAGAGAGCACAGTGAACGCCTTGGGTTTGGGAGGGTCTCCTTCCCAGGCCCAGCCTCCCTGGTGCCCTTGCCCCTCAGCTCACCTGCTCTAAGTCCCAGTAGCTGGGGCTGTCCTCTTCCGAATCATATAGAGACATTTCAGGGTCCACGGAAGCCTGGAAGGGGAGAAACGGGTACAGAATGAGCTCCATGACCCAGTGACACAGTCCGGTGCAAATGGCAGCCTCCGGGTGGACGCCGTGTTTTCAGGGCGAGTCCTGTGGCTTTTTCCCTCCCCTGCCCCATCTGCTCACAAAATGTAGCACAGGGTGGCCTTCCCCCTTTCAGTGGAGGCGTGCGTCAGGGTCTGCCCTCCTTTGTGGGCAGCTTAGAGGCAGGGGATGTTGGCCTAGCTTGCGAGGAAGACTGGCTAGCTGCCTGATGTTGGGGAATCCATTTCCTTCCTCTGGAAATCTGTTCCCTTCTCTGTAAAAGTAGGAGAATCAAATTCGCTTTTCAGGCTTTCTACATCACCATGCTGTTGAAAAGGTGCGTGTGTGTGTGTGTGTGTGTAATTTATATATATGAATACATTGTGTAATATGCAAATATAGACATGTTCTGTATATAAAAATTATTTTAAATATGTAACCATAGTAAGTGGACATTATTTAATAACAAATGGCGAGGATTCTTCCAGAATCTTGCTCTTTTCAGTCCGTGGACAAGGCTTGTGAACCCAGAAGGCCTGCTCCCCACAGTTGTGCTCCCTAAGCGTGGAGGGCGGGCACCAGGGCCCAGTGTTTCCCTGGGCGGGCAGTCTTCCAGCACTTAGAACAGATGGCTTCACCTTCGTCCCTCTCTTAGAGCAAAGAGCAAATGGTTGCTTGAGGGCCAGGAAAGCCTTTCTTATGATCCACTGAGGGCGGGGGAGGGGGGAGGAGGGGAGGTTTTATATATGAGGAAGGCTGGGGCACAGGGCCTTGGGAGGCTAAGGGCAGGGGCCAAGTTGAGAGGGACCCTGGGGGTGGGGGGCGGCTGGAGATGCCAAGGCAGGGGCCCCAGTGGGGTGGGGTTTTTCTGCTCCCACAGCTTTCTGGAGTCCTAGATGGTGTTATTTGTAGCTCATTTGCATATCACTTAGTGAGCTAGTGAATTAAATGTCAAGAAACTGAGACAAAACTTGGATCCAGTCTCTTTATCCATGATGAGTCTGAAATCTCTAAGCTCTGCTAAATTAAAACAGGCAGGCTTACTCCCTTCCTTTGCCCAAAGCCTCTTCTAGAAGGAGCGAAGGAGGAGGGCACGTGAACAACGCCAGCATACTGGGCATAACCTAGTGTGCCTCGGGTGTTTGGAAATGAATATTAATAAAAGATTTTAGAGTATACAAAGTGCTTTCAAGTGACATAAGAGGCATCATTCTCAGTTAATGCTAAAGCAGAAGCAAAAGAAAAGCCCTGCGAGGTAGCTAGTGTTAATTTAGGGTGCTTGCTCTGCAGAAAAGCAACTCTGAAATGGCAGTTTCAGGAAAGCTAAATGACAGAATTTGTGTTCTTGTGCTCTAATGCCCCTGGTCTTGCAACGTGGTGTCCTGGGGCCTAGGATTCCCAAGGGACCTTACCACTGGGAAGTCACGTCCTGGGGCCGCTTCTCTGGCATTTGCCTGGGCAAAGAGGACCGCGTCGTGTATGCTGGGAAAGACGTGATTGCGCTCTAGACATCCATCTTCAAAGACACCTCCGTGGCTGATGTCGTTGTACACCTGGGCTGGAAGGAAGGAAAAGGCCCTCAGAAAGATAACAGCTTTGTGGTTTGGAGCTGGAGATGGGGAAAGGACAGCGAGAGGGGAGGGAGGGGTGGGGAGAGAGTCATCCAAAGGCCAGGCCAAGTCTTGGTCTTGCAATATCAATGCTGGACAGCAGAGGGCAACATGAGCTTGAGGATGCTGAACCTTCAACCGGGGNGGGGGGGGGGGGGGGGGGGGGGGGGGGGGGGGGGGGGGGGGGGCAGAAGGAAGCAGTTTGATTCAGGGAGTCGGTACTTTGTGGCAATTGAGAGGGAAAGGCTAAAACGTCCTCGAGGAGGCTGCTGCCCGTTTTATCCCTGGGTGGTTCATTCTTTCTCTTGTTTCTCTAGACCTATCCCGCAACCTCCAGTGTGTGACAGAGCCCTTATTTTTGCTAAATCCTAGAGATGATTTCCCAAGAGGTGTCCAGTGAGGGTGGGGATTGTCCATAGACTATCTGCCACTGCAGATTCTCTCTCTGAGTAGGTTCCACAGGGCTTGGGACCTGCTCGGGCCAATTCTGAAGCTGGGGAGGGCTCCACAAGGGGTTCTCACTTTCTGCAGGAAGTGAGGTGTCTGTGCCCCTTCACTTTCTGTTGTGTGTCTGTGTGTGCTTGCTCTGTGTCTGCACCCCTGCACTCTGCATATGTGCTGACGATGTGGAAGTCCACTACCCTGTGGACACGTCTTTGCGGCTGGGTATATACACACACCTTTGGAGATTGTGTGTATATAAAACCGTGTGTCTGTGTGTTCCCCAGATAGCTACAGCACGTGTATGCTTTATGCTTTGGGGGGCTATTTGGGTGCTCTCATTTTCTATCCCCCATTCAGCATTCCGCCAGCATCCCTCCCCACCCCACCCCCAGCCTTTTGGTCCCCTAAATGTCCTCTTCTTACCGTGGATGTTCACCAGGAAGACCTTCACCCCGATCTTCCCGTAGGTGGAGCTCAGCTGGAAGTGGTTGGGGAAGGGTTTTGGGACGAGGAGACAAAAGGAAAGGAATGTTCTGAGTGGGTCTCAAAAGTGATTCACAAAACGCACTTCAGAGGGGAAGCCAAACAAATAAGCACCCCCAAGGGCCCTGGCAGCCAAAGATAAAAATAGCAGCAAAGCACACCACTTCTCCCTGGAGTGTTGGCTGTCGGCTTTTCTGGAAAGCAGGACAGAAATGGGGCTTTGCCAATGAGGCGGGCACTTAAAGCCACCATGGCCTCTTCTTCTGGGGTCAGATCTTCTCTCTCAGTAGCTTAGGTCCCCAGATTCCACCTCTTTCCCGACTTTGTGGCTTCAGGCAGAAGCTGCAGGGGAGGCTGGAGGCCCACCGGGCTCCAGGTCCAGGCTAGGGAAGCGGGCTGAGCCTGTGGCGGCGGAGGTGCGGCCTTCTGCGCACATGGTGCTCTCTGGGTGATACTCAGCCTCTGCGCTCTCGGAACCGCCTCTGTCTGAGCCAGCTCTGAGGTTTGCTGACTCCCTGCTGTTGGAAGTGCTGCTGAGAGGTTATCAGATGGACGGATACCTTTATTCAAGGTGTCCCATCAACTGCTAATTTGGCCTGAGAATGCGGAGCACTAATGCTATTTCTTCTTCTCTTCTCAGCTGACTGGAATTGGCCAATGCCGGAGTGTCTGGGTGACTGTGGGAAGGAGCAGCAGCCCATGAACCAGGGCCAATCTGAACTCTACTCAAAAGACTTCGGGGTGGGTTCCTGGTGGCCTGAGAGGGAACTTGGGATGGCCTCTGCCAGGGAGGGGTGCTAAGGCAGGGTGGGGCTGCAGATATCGCTCCAGTGTCCCTTTCCAGCCACTTGTCAGCTTGGGCTATCTGGGCCTGCTTTGCAGAGGGCAGCCTGTCCTGGTCGTGTCTGGGGGAAAAGGGATCCTTAGGAGCCACTTGCCTCCTTGGTGAGCTTCCTCTCTCAGCTTGTCCAAATGAGAGCCCCAAGGAAAGGGAGTGTGGGAGAGCAGGGGTGAGGGTGTTGGAGTGGAGGGCAGGCCGGCACTCCCTGTGCCTGGGCCCTCACCTTGCCCAGGGCTTTGATGCCCATCAGGTCCACAAAGCTGACCCCACTCATATCGAGGATGATGGTGTGGAAGGTGACAAAGGGTGGGACGCTGGCCAGCATGTCCCTGGGCTCACTGGGGGTCTCGGCGGAGGCTGGCGGCGCACAAGGGGCAGCTGGGGAGCTGTCAGGGCTGAAGGTGATGTAGGACACGCTGGCGCCATTAGCAGAAGTCTGGTTGTTGTTGGGGTCCGTTGGGGTGGCGTTCTCAAAGTCTTGCTGGAGCTCCTGCAGGGAGACAGTCTGGAGGGTGGGGGGCGGGGGGCCAGGGATCAGCAAACAGAATTAGACTTTGCTGAGGGAGGGGCAAGGAGTGTGCAGGTGGGGGTGAATAAGTGCAGATGGTGGTGAAGATAAGCCCGCAGAACCGCACAGGGGAGGCGTCTCCCAGCGCTCTTTCCGTAGGCAGGGGCTGTGTGCTCAGGCTCCCACACACCAGCTGGAGGCACTGAAGGCTCAGCCCACCGAGCTCTGGGAGAAAGTGCTTCTGGAAACAACTGTGCTCCTTTATATATTCGTCTGTGCCTGCCTGATTCTCCCCAGAACTCCCACATCCATGTCAAAGCTGGCTGGGCACCCCAGGAGATTCACCACTGCTCCCTATTTGGGGTTGTTCATAAGTCAATGGGACATATTGTATCTTAGCCAGAAAATGGGAAGGGAGTTCAGTGGCTATCCCCAGGAGTTGGCATCCAGTCACCCAAGGAGAAGAAGTTTCTATGGCCACCAGGCAATGGCTACAGAGACTTTAGGTCTTTGCCTCAAAGGGTGCTGGGAGGTGGGGCGCAAGGGGCAAGATCAGAGCAGGCAGGCAGTTCCTAGCCTCAGTTCACCTTGGTTTTCATAAACAGAGACTTCCTCTGCTGTGTGGGCATCAGTCTCCCCTTCTCCTGCTTCCTGAGGTATTTTTGCTTGGCCAGCAGTACTTTCTGGGGGTCCACACCTGTCTGTAGGGAGAGAATCCATAGCAGTTTGGATGTCCGTCCTCTTTGGAGGGTGGTCTGCCCCCCAGTCCCCTTTCTCCCATCTTCTGGTTACTCCCTGGTCAACCCCTCTGGTCACCAGAGTTCTGAACCTTACCTTGGCAATGACCTTTTGCCTGAAGATCTCTGAATTGGCAAAGTAGAGAGGGGAGCAGTAAGTGACAATCTTAACCCCTTCGATTTCCTGGACCTACAACAGGGAGACTGAGCTCAGGTGGCAGAAATGTCGTTATTGCCTTTTTTTTACTTGTGTTTTTTAAACGTTTGTTTATTTTGGGAGAGGGAGAGAGAGAGAGAGAGAGAGAGAGAGAGAGAGAGAATGTGCACATGCATGAGCAGAGAGAGGGAGAGAGACACTCTCAAGCAGGCTCCACGGTCCGAACAGAGTCCAATGTGGGACTCAATCTCATGAGTGTGAGATCATGACCTGAGTAGAAATTGAGAGCCAGATGCTTAACTGATCGAGCCACCCAGGTGCCCCTTAACCTTCTTTTATTTGGAGTGGGGGTAGGGCAAAAGAGAGAGGTCATAAGTTTGGGTTACTCACCCGATTATAGGCCTTAGGATTCACATAAATGTCAGTGTCCATGACCTGGGCCAAAGCATAGCCATTTCGACTAGATGAGAAAAGAAAAGAAAAACTTAAGAACATACCAAACACAAAAGGAAATAAGAGCATGCTAATAGCAGATCAGCCTGGAAGGACCCTGGGGTGGGACCTGGAGCAGAAGCAGGGTGGGATGGTCCCTTCCTCACCCCTGGGGTGTGTTATGTTGGTCTTTCTGCACTGGTGACACATGCCTGGTGGCCTATGGCTCGGCTGTAACCCGAGGGATGACAGGCAAGCCCTTGACATAGCTCCCAGACTGGGGCCCAGCATGGAGAAAAGGTGAGGTACACAAGTGACGAGCTTGGGTGGCCCTGAAGTCACCGCTTCCTGGTTCTGAGTTCTCAAGAAGAGAAGACAGGGCTTCTCTAATATAGAGCATCTTCTTCCTCTGCCGCCCCTGTCCTGTACTCCTCAGCCTTTTTATCGGAAGGACAGGGCATCTGTCCTCTGGACTGGTGTTCCCCTGGGGAGGGTCCCATTTGTCCTGGGGACTGGCAATGCCTTTGGATGAGCTCAGGGTCTCACCCTCCTGTTCTCCTGCTTTGTATGGCCCCCCGCCCTCCAAGCCCATGAGGGCTTCTCTGGCACTTTAATATGGCAGTCAGACAGCCCAGCCCGGGCCGGGGGCCCCGCTGCTGTGCCACGTGCGGGCTGTTACTTACAACTGAGTCTGGAAGACCACAACCAGGGCGGAGAAGGCGACGCCCACGGCCACACCGTAGGGCAGGCTCAGAAAGAACGAGGAGAGGAAGCTCACCATCCAGACACACTGTGAGGAGAGGGATGTCAGAGCAGGCCCGGGGAGAAGGCTGCCTCTTTCGGGAGGTCTTCCTGGAATAGCCGAGGCCATTCTCTGTTTCCACAGCCTCAGACCCGCCCTCCCCCTTTCTTGGCATCTTTGCACTTTGTCTTATGCTTCGGTCCTCTGGCTACACCTGCACATTTCGCCCAGCCTGAGTGTGCCCAGCAATCTTGCTTGGTTTTTCATAGACCACCCCAGCCCACACAGGGAGGTGGTACGGTGCTCGCTGGGAGTATGAGGGTGACATACACCTGGTTTCAAAGTTTCATTCTCTCGCTTACTAGTTCTGTGAGCCAAGTTGCCTGATCCACAAAAGGGCAATGATAATACCTGTTTCACGAAGGGATTAAAAAGCTAAGGCAGCTGAAGGTCCTAGCCTAGTGATGGGCACCTAGTCGTCACTCAATGAACAGGAGCTCCCTCTCTCCACCTGACGGGAGGCTGCGTGTTCCCAACACACACTCATGACCTTCCTGGCCTGACGGTCTGGGGTCTGGCTGTGTGGATGGGGGGCAGGGTTGGATGCAGTTTTGATAGCTGCCTCCTTTATGGTCCTTTAGAGTTCCCCAAATTCCTCTAAAAAGACAAATCTGCCCACATTCCCCTAGAGAACAGTGAAGACAAGACGTGAGCCCCAGGCACAATGGAAATACCAGAGCCTGTATTTGGTGGGGGTATCACTGAGATGTGGTAAGAGCAGATCTTTGGGGTGGGATCAGGAACGTCATACTCTCCCCTATCATCACCACTTACTGGCAGACCCTAGATGGGCCACTCACTTCTCTGGCTTTAAGGATTTTCCTTGTGTCCCATACAGGTCAGCCTTGGTACCCAGGAGACAGAGTCGCCCAGAGGTTTGCAGCCTAAGATTTGGGTTCCAATCCTGACTCTACCCTTTGCTACCTCTGTGGCCTTTGGCAAGTTACTTAACCTCTCTGAGCCTTGGTTTCATCACCTTTTTAAAAAGGTTTTATTTATATAAGTAGTCTCTACACCCAACATGGGGCTGGAAACCACAACCCTGAGATCAAGAGTCATCATGCTCTTCTGTCTGAGCCAGCCGGGAACCCCTTTCTTTCATCATCTTTCGAGGAGGTCAGTAAATCCTCTTGTGGTGGAGCTTAAATGGGATTTGTTGTCAGTGTGGTCAATACATGGTAACCTTATTACTATTGTCCAATGCTAGATGCGTTGGGCCGGTGACTAAGCTTAACAACAAGTCGTGTTTGCTGAGTGTTTTACGGGTACTCGGTGTTCACCCGTATGATGTCATTTAATCCTGAGAACCAGTGTGTAATGAAGTCATGACTGTCACCCCCATTACAGATGAAGAAATAGAACTCCAGAGAAGTCTCCTAACTTGCTCAAGATCCTGGTCTGCTGGCTTTATGTTCTAGTTTTTTGTTGTTGTTGTCACTTTTTAAAACGATTTCTTTTTGCTTTTTTTTTTGGAACTATAAACCATAAAAATAATCATGGCTATTTTTTTTTTAAATTGAACCCAGGGTACAGTTTGGATAGCATGCTCCTTACTTGTATCATCTCATTTCTTCCTCATAAACAACCCTGGAGTGGGGGATGGGGTAGAGAGTATAAGATACCCATTTCTCAGATGAGAAAGTCAAGACTCAGAGAAGTTTACAGACTTGCTAGGGACTTGCTTGTCTAGGGCCACGCCATAGAGCCAGTGAACAGTTGAGTTAGGACATGAACGTAGGATGTCTCACTCCAAAACCTGGCTCTTAACAGTTGGCTATGCTAATTAGGGAGCAGCAAAACAGAGGGGCCACCACAGAAGAGGTGACGTGCTGTGGGGTTGGAGGAGGGGGCGGGGCATGAAAGGGTACCCAGAGGCCACCAAATACCTACACAGTCCAGCCTGCTCTTCTTCCACAGGTAATAGGGGTCAGCGAGTTGCTTGAGGGAGTTCTTGAGGTTGACAGCGATCAGGGCTCCTAGCACAGACTGGGGAAGCAGAGCATTATTCTTTCTCACCTGTGGTGGCCCCTCCTTCCTGCCCTGCCTATAAACACCTGAGCCTGGAGCGTGGCAGGACAGAGCTGCAGTTCCAGAACTCTCTGTCTGCAGAGCCCCCCGGATCTCTGCGCTCAGTCTCGGGGCTCGAGAGTGCAGTGCAGGTGCAGGGCCATGGGGCCCATCCTGGCCCGTCTCTGCCCCTCCCTTCTTCCCTCATCTCCAAACCGTCCATGCCCAGGGTCTTCCTAGTCAGGCACCCATATGCCCTTGTAAACGCTAACTGGGGAGTTGACCCCTAGGTCAGAAGGCTGGAGATTACCACCAGCCCTGCACTTAGGAGCTGTGTCACCACAGATCACTTAGACTTTCTCAGCCTCAGCTTCCCTCACCTGTAAAACGAGGATAGTAAAACCATGTTGTCTACTTTACAGGTAGGTGATTAGGACAAAGTGTGACAATGCTGGCACTTTGTAGACTGTAAAGGGTCATGCAACTCTTAGGGATTGTTGTTGCTGGAGTCTTTGGGGGGCCTCTGCTCTCCTGCTGTGCTCTTACCTTGGGGAGAGGGTATAGATAGGACCCCAGGGCCAGCATGGTGATCATCACTACTAGGGAAACACACAGGCTTGCCACCTATTCAGAGAAAGAGTTGGGAAGAGGGCATAGGTGTGAAATCCTCGTTTTCAGTTGATTTCCAATAGATACCTTCGGTGGAGTGAAGACCAAGGAGAGGAGAAGAAGGTTGGAGAAGCAGCTGGCCTGGCGTGCATGTGCCTCGGCTTCTCTGGGGCAGCTGTTTTGCTACCTTCTCCCCTTCTTCCCCACTCCCCTGGTACAATGCTCACCTGGGATTTTCCTCCAGCTCCATCCACAGCCAGAGTGACAGAGAGAGCACAGCAAATGACATGGATTTTAAAGAAGGAGCCAAAGAAGTTGCTGCAGCCCAGGGCGATCATCTCCTGTGGGGACAGGGGCAGGATTGGAAGCAGGCGCCGTGGGGGGTGGGCAGCAGGTGTTGCCCAAAGTCGTCCATGCAAGCCAGATCCTAGGCCTAGGACTTGAGAACCATCCTACTGCTAGAAAGCCCTACACTCCTGGCCAAGCGGAGGTTGGCCTTCTGCGGTCAGAGCCCCTCCTCCTCACCGGTAGGCAGCTTGCTCCCTTCAGCTCCAAGAGCTCTGCCGTATCTCTGGCCAGGCCTCTGTGGGACCCAGCTCACCCTGCCGTACCTGCCCGCGTGGACCTACCTGGTTAGAATCCACGTCATAGCCGTGCTTGGTGGCCAGGGTCCGGCCCATAGCCAGGTTGATGACATAGCCCACGATGGCCAGCGAGAAGGCCGTGCCTATCATGTCCTTCCACTGCGAAACCACAGGTGACACAGGAGTGGGGAACCTGCCAAAGAGACAGGAAGGAGGCAGGGTGCAAGGGTGTGAGGGGAGGCAGGGCGAGTCCTTCCTCAACCTACAGGGCCCCGCAGGGCCCCAGTGTGTGCCAGGGTCTACGTGAATTACCCCTTGTCATCTGAGTCCTCAGCACAACACTGTGGGGCAGCTGCCATCACTCCCACTGCCAAAGCAGAAACCTCATTTGTCCAAGTTCACAGAGCCAGTAAGTGGTGGGGCCTTATTTGTTCACGTCCAGATTCTGGACTCTATGCTCACGAGTCCACAGACCCATAGCCACTACCCTCCCCTGCCCTCTTCCCACCCTCCTCCCCCAACCCTACAGCACAAGCCCACCCTTTCCCACCCAGGGCCCAGCATGGTGCCTGGCACAGAGTGGACGCTCAATGTTGATCCTACTAGCTTCTTTTCCACGTGGATGAAAGGAACCAACACATTAGAACAAGGCAAGGAGCTGGAGAAGGACCGATCAGAGAGGCTTTGTTTTAGCAGCATCCACTGAGTGAGACTTTTGGGGGTGTGTGTGGCAGTTAAGGCTCACTGTTTGTAACACAGCTAGCATTGGCTGGTTGTACTGCTGTCTTCCATAATAATAGAAATAATTCACATTTAGTGGGTGTCACAGAGTCTACAATGCTCTTTCATTAGAGGGTGTCTCATCTCGGCCTCTGAGCCCAGGCCTCCATGGGTGGGTGTTGGTAGCGGGGGAGGGGGGACAGGTTTCCTGGCCACCTGGACTCACCCTTGTTGGATCTCTCCAACGATCTGCATGTGATACTTTCTGGGCATCTTACAGCCCCCAGAGATAGCTGTTGCCACCACCACCTGCAAATCCCAACAGAGAGAATGGGGATTGGCAGGGCGGGGGTCTCTCTCAAGCTTCCCTTTTCTCTGGGGACTCCAAATCCCACTCCCCTGCCTCCTCAAAGGGGAACAACCCAAGGAGCAGGAAAAGTGGGAGCCATATGCAGGGGGATGGAATGGATTCACCCAACTTCCTCTTCTGCTGGCTGCCAGCAGAGGAAGCAGTGAAGGTGGGGAAGGGCTCTGGTGGCTCTGATTGGGGCTGGGTTCCTTTACTCATGGCCTCTCTAGCCTGGCCCCCAAAACTCCAGCCCTGGGGAGGATCCTTACCACAATCATCTCTGTAGGGATGGGGAAGCGGATCTTGTGCATGTAGCGGGCATTGAGCTCCTTCACCAGCACCAGGAAGATGCCACTGATGAGGGCGAAGATGAGCGAGGCGATGTTGGTGTGGGGGAGGTTTTTGCAAATGTCAATGAAGGTCTGGGGGAGAGAGCATCATGCTCATGGGCTCCCACTTCTTCTTCCCATACTGTCCCCACCCTTGGATGTCTAACCTAGCAGAAGGATGTCATTAATGCAAATGGGAGCACATCAAAGCAGAATCCAGATCTTGGTCACCAATAGCATCTCATCTTCCACCTCCCTCTCCCAAAGGGCATGCTGGGATCTCATGCCAGGGTGGGAATGGTGATTCTCTTTCTTAGAAAGAATTCAAGCCCAAGGAGGAGGGATGGAGATTAGACATAAGAAAGGACCTCCCAGGCAGGGAGGGATTGAGGCACTGTATCAGGGAACTGATGGGGAAATGAACATCTCCTTTTCAGTAGGCATTAGCCATAGAGAACCTCAGTGAGCCTTCAAGGTCATGTGTTTGACCCTCCCTCCCAAAGTGGGAACCCCCTGGGAATCCTCTCTGAACAATCGGCCAGCCAGACCCTTGCTTGAGGACATCTTGTGAGGAGGAGCTCACAACTTCTGTGTCTGTCTGAGCCCCTCCCCATGTTCAGGGATGAGTCCTAGACTCACAAAGACGATGGACCCTGGGCCCGCGTAGGAAGGGATGGTCAGTCCAAAGATGTACTTGAGCACCGAGATCAGTATCTGCAGGCCGGCTGCCGTCATGAAGCCCCGGATGAAGGACTCGGAGAGGTAGATGGCCACAAAGCCGAACTGCACGAAGCCCAGGCCCATCTGAGAGGAGAGAGGTGGGGGTGGGGGTGGGGAAGACCGAGAGAAGGGTCCGCAGCTCCCACATGTGCCTGACCCAAACCCAGGCTGCAGTTCCGTGCAGCCGCCCGAGGAAAGTGAGCTCTCTGTGACCTTGTCTTGCCCTTTACTGTGCCAGCAGACCTTTCGTCTGGTTTGGGGCATGGACCTCTTGGTCACGTTACCTCTCTGGCTTTAGTTTTCTCATCTGAAAAATAAACCTGGTCCTCCCTCAGGGTTTCCTCTCCACACGGTTGGCTAGCCCAAATCTTGGGAGTCATCCTCCCTGAGCCCCACATCAGGTCTGTCACCAAGCCTTTTAATGCTCCTGGCAAAATGTTCCTTAAGTCCACCCCATCTCGGCCCTCCCCTGGCCGCCTCCCTGGCCCAGGCCTTCGTCAGTCTTGCCTGGACTTCTGCATAGGCTCCTAACTTTGACTGTAGTCCACCTCCCACCTCTCTTCTCCATGGCCTGAAAGATCCTTATAAACTGCCAATTAGACCCAAAGCCAGGGCAGGGGGCACAGACTTCAGACTACTTTGTCCAGCCTCTGCCTACCTTTCCAGCTTCTTCTCTGGCCCATCCCCCAAAGGTCTCCTGCTGTCCAGGCACACCAAACTTCTTGCCTTGTCAGTCCTTGGTCGATCACACTCAAACCTCAATGCTTTGGGGTGCATTCCCTCTGCTGGAACTGCCTTCCCATGCCTCATTCATTTGGTTACCGGCCAACCTCCATTCATCCTTTACTATTCAGGTCAAATGCCATTTCCTCTCTGAGACGAGGCCTTCCCTGACTCTCTCTTTGGTATTCCCACTGCCATGAGAACATCTATTATGCCGCTTATCTCCCTGCCTACAAGTTTATCTGTTGACATGGTTACTTCCTCTGCTGGGCTGTACGCTCCTGGAGAACTGGACCTCTTCTTTACTTGTGTTCCCCCCAAGGCCTAGCCCAGTTCCTGGCACAGCGACACAACCAAAAACATTAATGGGATGAATGAAAGAATGAATGAATGAATGGTGTCCTCTGAGGTTGCTTCCTGCTCTTGTGTTCCATCATGCAGTGTTTCCCTTCATAAAACCTAGCAGATTCCTTTGCAATGTGTATAATTTGTGTTGTGCAGGTGATGCTGTGGTTTGGGGCGGAGGAGCCTGGAGGAGGCGGAGGACTGTGCCGGCAGAGGGGTGGGCACTGGGGAGGGTGGTGGAGGGAGCCTGTGAGTCTTCCAGACAGTCTAGCTCAGGACAGTTTGCCCGGGTGCAGATAGTGGTCTTACGGACCTGCTGGAGGCAGGTGAGGGGATACACTGATTTTTCAAGGTCTTTTGTGGCCCTGGGAATGGGGAAGAGGGAGGACGTAGAGCCCTGAATCAGTTTTAATGTCAAACCAGGGCTTTGAGGCAGCAGGACGGAAAGATGCCCGCCCCCCGCCCCCCCAGGCTTCGCCCTTGACAGGGCCACGGCCGTCCCCTCACCTGGATGATGGCAGTCAAGCAGGCCAGTGTTGCTGACACGTGCAGCCTCTCAGCCTCCATGGCTGCCGTGTCCACGTAGGTCTTGTTGGTGACATTGTTGTAGACCCAGAATTTCGACTCTGGGGCCAGCTGCAGACAGATGTTACCCACCAGGATGCTGATAACGGCAAAGGTACCTGTGGTGCCCACCCCGCCAGCAGGAGTCAGAGGTTTGGACCACACCCAAGGACAACAGAAAGGGGCCCAGGAGTGCTTCCCGACCCCCGAGGGGAGGGACCCCCACATCTCCAAGGCTCCTCTCCAGCAAGGAAACAACCATTCACGTGTAACCACAATCTATACTTTTCAAGATGCTTTTCAACTGTTAAAATGATTCCATTGGACACATGAGGCAGTGAGCTTGGGAATGCAAGTGGCACCTGACCCAGAAATAGGCTTAGTGACCAGGCCCTTTTTCTCGATGTCACTTAGCACCAGAGAACTCCAAATATCCCTGCAAAGACCAGCCTGAGAGTAATTTCTCCCATCTCTTTGGTAGAGTATATCTTGTTCCACCAAGTCTTCCCCACTTGGAGGGAGACAGAACAGGTAATGCTAACCAAGCTCACAGAAGCTAAGTGGTTTCTATAAGGTCATAGCAAACCTGGGACTGACACTCATGGTGACAGTCCCTTCAGGACCCCCCAGCACCTACACTAGGAGAATGCAGATGGAAAACACCCAAAGCCCCTTTCACATCCTTGTGGTCCAGGTCACCTGGCCTGCTGAGAAGGGAGAGGACTTACCTGGCACCATCTGGTGTATGCCCCCCAGGAAGAAGTAGGTGAGGAGGGGGAAGAAGGAGGAGTAGAGGCCGTTGACTGCAGGAAGGTTGGCCAGCAGAGCAAATGCCATGCCTGCAGAGAACAGCAGATTGAAGGCTGGGGGGCATGGTCGGGGTATGGAGGTCACAGGGGACAGGGAGAGGAAGGGGGGAGAGCAGCAGACCAAGCCACCCTGGGGGACAGACCCCCTCACCTTGTGGGACCTGGATGCATCCACCGCTGAGTCCACCCAGCAGGTCGGGGATGAAGTAGTCTTTGATCTTGTACTTGGGGAGCCAGGAGAGCACGGGGAGCAGCCCAAACACCACGGCTTTGATCTTGGCTGAGGAACACCTGGAGGGGAAGAAGGTAGCCTTCCAGTCGGCGCTGCATGGTTTGGACACTCTGAGTCAGGTAGGGATTATAATATTCTGTTCCTGGTCATCCATCCATCCATCCATCCATCATTCATTCATTCATTCATTCACTCATTCAGAATTCAGTGAGCACCCACACCATGCAGTAGGCTGGGGACACTGAGAAAAGAAAGGCAGGGGCTTTCTTTGGAGAGCCATTCACACGCCCTTGGCTTTAGCTGAGCGTCTGGAGCCAACTGCCCATTTGGGACATCCAGAAGCCTTGGCGTAAAGGCATGGATTTTGTGATCACTTAGCCTTCCAAGCTGCCAAGTCCAACCCCCCATCTCAGATGGCCTTTCTCCGGTCTGACTGAGCACAGGCCCGGGCACCCATGAGCAGGCTCCTGAAGCTTTGTGTGCACACTGGGTTATAAGGGTTTGCTTTTCATCTGTCGTTCTCAATGGACAGCAAACCCCACCATGACCAAAAGTCTGGCTCTCTGGTTCATCTTTTATACCTTGCACATTGCATTGGGATGCTTAGTAAATATTTGCTGAATAAATGAATGAATGAATGAGTGAAAGGACTGGCTGGTATTGAAACTCAGTCTGAGTAGGGCTGCTGCCATCTTTCTTAGCACTTCCCCCAAAGAAGGCTCCATTGTCCCTACAGGGTGTGCCTTGGCTGACCCACCGTCTCTTGTGTGTCATGACTCCAGTGCTGGAGTTCTTCCCACTGTTAATTCATTGGGGGCGGAAGGAATGGGCGAGCTGTTTGTTGGCCAACGCAGGGTGGGGAAAGTAGATCCCTTCCCTGTTTGTTGAACACCTTGAGGTCTTTTCATAGAAACTCAGGAGCGGTAGGAACAAGGGCCTAAAAAACTCAGGGGTGACAGCTCATGGATTGATGACTGTGGCGGGGGCGGGGGGGTGGGGGGAGGTGAGGCATTTGCGTTTCTTTTCCCAGTTGAGGGAACTCAAATACTCAAATACTCAAGGCCCATTTGGTGACTCACTAGCCTGCTCTGATTAGGCTTCCTTTCCTGCCCAGCACCAATTCCTGCTCTTTGCTATTATTCAACAATAGTTTCCCAAACCTGGGTTCCCTGGATGTCACCCAAGACTAAAATCAACACAGACAATGCTTTGTACCTTGTAGAGTCTGGACAGATTTTCTGTCCCAACCAGTACTCTGTGAAAGGGCATCACCATCAACATCTGAGTCCCCAGTCTCCTATGGGACCGGTGGATGTGCCTCTTCCACCCTTGGGCTGGTGGATGGGGCATTGGATGGGTAGTAGATAGCTTCTAGCATCTCTAAAGCTTTGTCATAAGGGAGCACAGCACTGCGGGAACTCTCTCAAGCTTGTTTGTGACAGGGAAAACTGGACTCACAAATAGAGAGCTGAGTAGGGGAGGGCAAACAACCCCCTTGAGGGCAGGTATCTGCCCAGCCTTATTTGCAGGCCTGCCATATGTTGGTAAAGGCAATCTGCAGCCTGATAGAATGGCTGGAAATGGATGCCAAGCACCTATACAGAGGCTTCAGGGGCCAGGAGGATTAGCTCCCTACCCATTCATTCATTCATTGACTCAACAAATATTTATTGGAGCACCTTCTGTGTCAGGCACTGTTTAAGGCTCAATGCCAGCCTCCTGGGAATTGTTAGTTCCCTAATCAGTTTATAGTTTTAATCTATAACCTTTTAGGACAACAGCAGATACCCTCATCCCTCCAGCACAGAAACAAACCAGACTTAAGCTGGGAACTAAGGCCGACGCAGCCCAGCTGTGCAAGGAGCCCAGCTGTGGGTAGGGTGTCTAGACACTGAAGACCCAAGGCTTTGGCTGTGACCCAGCAGGAATAGAGCCTCCCAGGGGAAGTAGGGTTGGACCAGGGCTTTAGTGAAGACTCAAGTGGGTGATTCCCCTGGTCTGAACCAGTTCCACCTGCATCTCCACTTCAGCCATTGCCAGTGACCTCGATCCAGGTAACTGAATCAGCTGTTTCCCCAGGGGAGTGAGGAAGAGCAAGTCAGCCCACAGCCAGGACTGAGCAAGGTCTGCCACAAGTGTAGGGAGGGGGAAGGTGAAGCTCATAGCCTTCAGTTCCTGGAGTATGGGCATAGGTCACCTCCTGAAACCCCCTCCGTGGAGGTGAGGTTCTACTACCCACTAGCACAGTCTCATAGATCTGAGAGTGAAAAGAGCCCAGAGTATGGCAGGACCCATCCTGGTAGATACCCTTTAGGAGGGCCCAGGAATTTAGGGGATGCCTTCAGGCATTCTCTGGATCAGGAAAGGGAACGAACATCTAGGAGGGATAGAGGACAAAGGACATTGGATGGTAGTGGCTTCAGATTTTTCGTGATCAGGAGGGAACAGGACTTTAAGTAAGGGCTCTGTTGTTTCTCCTGCCCCATGTGGTAGCGCGCCCATGCAGAGCTCCCTTACGAAACAAAGAGAGACTTGAGTGGACGGAGAATATGGGAAGACCTCACGCAGGGGCTGGAGATGCCCTACAACTCTACTGAACCTGTAGATCATCCTTGCTGCTACTCCCCATTCCCCACAGGGTGGGTGTCAGTACAGGAGGGCTTGTAGGGTCTTAAAGTCAGGGTTCTGAACCTCAAGGCTTTCCCAAGCCCTGTCTTAGGGACACAGGTACCGGAGCTATACTCTGGTGCAGAAAGGATTTTGGTGGGGAGGAGAGGAAAGAGGTGTCTGGGCTCTGGGCCACATTACCTGAAGGCATTGCGAAGTTTCTCTCCCAGTGGGTATGTCCGGTCCTTCTTCTCAAACTCATCATCAAAGAGGGTGAGAGAGTACGCGGCTCTGTCTACCACGTAGCGGGGCCTGGGCTGGCTCATGTCTGGGGCATTTACAAGCTTTGGGAGAGGCAGAGGAGGGGAAGATGAGGGGGCATCTCTCCCCAGTGCCAGCTCTGGCCTTCTCTCTCTAGTTCTGGCCACAGCAGGGTTTTATTCTGATCTCTTCTCCGCCCCCATCCAGCAAGGTGCCTCCCTTCCCTCTTTCAAGTCTTTCCACCAGACTCACTTCTGCTGGTGGCCTTCCTTCCCAGGTACTGATGATGCACACACTCGCCCTGGCTGTTTTACTTGGCGCCCAGCACGTGGCTGGCACGCCACACCTGTGACATCACCGGCACCCCCGCCGAACACCAGGCAAAAAGGAGGCGGGAGTGCAAGGCAGGAGTCACAACCGGATGTCAGAACATTGGTCTGATCCACTGCCCCCAGCCCCGGCTGCCGATGCCCCCACATGCCCCTCTCCCTCCCCAGACCTCAGTTTTCCTGGCGGATAGCTCACACCATTCAGCCAGTCAACTTGGAAGAAATAGAGAAAACAGCCTGCCCGGAGGCAGGGGGATGACTGAGGGGACCTCAGGAAGACCCTTCTTGAACGAGACAACTAGGACTTCACCAACAGGTTTTCCCAGGGGGATAATGGTGTGTTTGGGGAAATCAGGATGGTCTGTACCGGCTGGCTCTCCCACGGCTTCCTGTGCCTAACCTTTCCCCCACCCTTGTGTACTGGTGTTTCTCTCCTCCTTGCTTTTTGCGCAACCTTGCTGATGTTTCAGGAGCAGGGCAGAGCTGAGTGCCAGGGCCTGAGACTCAGAGGAGCTTCCCGTGGGAGCCGTTCCCCCTCCCTCCTGCAACTACCGGTCCCTCCTCCTGTACCGTGCCCCTGGGTCCTGGGAGAACCCCCTAGGAGGACCTCTGAGGAAGAAGGGAGAAGAAAGAGGTGGGGCACGTTTGGAGGAAGGAGGAGGGCAGTGTGGGGGTGGCTGTAGCCAGTTTGGCAAAAGATTTGAGATGGAGTTGAAAGCGAGAAACCACACAGGGGGTCTAGGGACGTCCCTCGGCTTCCTGTAGGAGAGCCTGGTGCATAGGGGTTATCAGAGGCGAGCGGGTTGGTTGATGCCTTTTGTGGAAGAGAACATGGCAGAAAGATGGAAAGTAACAAAGGGTCCAGAAACCTGGGTTTAGTCCTGCTTCAGTGGTGAGATGGAACAGACAACATCACCTTTCTGAGCCTCAGATTCCTTGTCAGTAAAATGGGAGAAACATATCCAGCTCACAGGGTTGTTGTGACCATCAGATGAGTTATGGGCAAGAAAGGGATATGTGAGGGGCACCTGGGTGGCTCAGTCGGTTAAGCGTCCTACTTTGGCTCAGGTCATGATCTCATGGTTCGTGGGTTCGGGCCCCATGTCAGGCTCTGTGCTGACAGCCAGCTCAGAGCCTGGAGGCTGTTTCAGATTCTGTATCTCCCTCTCTCTCTGACCCTCCCCTGCTCACGCTATCTCTCTCTCTCTCTTAGAAATAAATAAAACCTTAAAAAAAATAAAAAAAAAAAAAGAAAGGGATATGTGAAATGTACCCAAAATGAGGCAAATGTGAGTCGTTTTTATTAATAAGATGGTACCCACGTTCATGCAGGTTGGGCCGGGGGATTCCATTCATTTGGTTGCAGGACCCCGAGGTCCATCAGAACCTGTAAGCAAGGACTGGACACCCCGCCAAATCCCTAGTGTGATATCCAGCTGGGAGGGAGTGGGGGAATGAACTCACTCTCAGCGCCTGTGCCCGGCCCCTTGCCTGGCGCTTAGTACGCACTCAACAAATGCTTATGGAATGAATCAATACATGGTGTTTTGGAGAAGACATGGGCAGAAATGAGTAAAAGCGATGGCATGTGAGACACTTCAGTGAGAGAAGTGAGAGACAGAGAGGCATAAGGAAAACAGCAAAAGCTTTAGAGCCAGAATGGCCTGGGTTCAAAGATTCAGTTTCTTCATCTGGAAGTGGGGAATGTAACGGTTCTGAGTGGTTGAAAGGAGAACGTGTGTATAAAGTGGCCGGCCTGGCCAGGCGCCTGGTAAATGGTAATGGCGATGATTATCGAGGTAGGAGGGTGCTGTCTTCCTCTTCGGAGAGACAATTCAGAGGCTTCCAGTCTTTCACCCTCCAGTGAGGCAGGTGCCCCTGCTCCTCCTTCTCCCCACCCTCTCCAAGGGTTGTAAGGGTCTAGCTTTCTAGGTGGCTTCCCTGATGGGCCCTTGGGGAACAATGAATAAAGAGCATGACTGTCTAGGGGAACCCAGAGCTCCAGCCTGGCTTCAGAGAAAGACTTGTGGTTTGGAGGAAGGGGTCTGTCCCTGGCCACCAAACAGATTGCCCGCAAAGGAATAGCTAAGATGTCCAAGGGGAACTGAACCCGGAAGAGGCAGCCCTTTGGAAGAGGGGGTGATGGGAGATCTCACATCCGTGCCCTGGGCAGGTGGTGGGTGGTCCCTGAAGCCCTTTCCCAGGCTGTTTTTTCAAAGGCTCTAAGCTCTCATAGTGTGTCTGTGGGGAGGAGGCTAACATCTGATCCCACAGAACCCTGCTAACCCAGCGCTCACTTCCTCATTTCCCCAGCAGGAATCTTCTTCCCTGTCACCCTGGCCACCCCCACATTGTCCATGCCCTTTCTTTACCCCCAGCCAGCCTCCGCATTCAGCTGTTCATCAAATCCCATTGCTACTTTCTTCCAGTGCCCCTCCTGTCCCCCACCCCCTCAGTCCTTATCTCACACCTGGACTATTGCATTAGGCTTCTGACTGATTTTCCCGTCTCCAGCCCACACCCCCTGATCAGAAACCCTCAGCCTCCTCATTTCCAGGAGGATCAAGCCCAAACGCCTTATTTCGGTGTGTTTGTTCTTTCCGCATCTGGCCCTGTTTTGGTGAACTCGGTAGAGGTGTTAGCTGGGTCCCCTGGCACCATCCAGCCGCCCCCCATCTCCCCCCCCCCCCAGGGCTGCTGGTCTCAGGTTTTCCCCCAGGCTCTGTCCACACTCTCCTCCTTACCTATGATGCCCTGACTCATTCTGCCTCCCTAGACCTGCCCATCCTTAAGAGCTTCTTAGGTCCCTCCTCCTCCCCTTCCCTCCCTCTCCTCTCTGCCTTTCCCTCCTCCACCTCCTCCTCTTCCTCTTCTATGAAGCCTTTCCTGACGTAGGATCTCTTTTTCTCTTCAGACTTCCTTCATTTGGGCCTCTCCAGCCCGCACACCAATGTTGGCTTTGGCCACTCCTGGCTGTCATTTCCAGGGAAGGGAGGGAGGCAAGGGGGTGGCACTGATGGAAACCGTTCTGGGAGGGGGTGACTCAGGACTATTTCTGCCCCAGTGGCAGGCTTCCTATGGATGGGGACCAGACGCTAGGGGAGTTCCCACTTATACAGGCTTACCAAGGAGAAAAACTCCCTTGCTTTACTGGAATGCAAAATCTGTCCTCTCCCGTATGCTCTGCCCATTTCGTTCTAGAAATAGGGTGTTGCAGGGGAGCAGGCTCCGGGAGCTTTCCCAACCCTGAGTTTGTGCCACGCAAAAGAAGGTGAACCCAGCAGCCCGCTCGACTCAGGAAGTTTTGTCCAGAAGGGAACTTGAGCACAAGGCTGCTCTAATCTTCTCGTTTTGTGGATCCAGAAACGGAGTCTTAGAGAGAGGTGGTCCGGGGATTCGTACGGGCCCTTGATGCCATCTAAACGCTCCTGTTGGGCCCCAGGCCTCCTGTTCCTGCTCGCTGGGGGCTGTCCCCTGGGTGGTGGCCCCTTTCACACCACCCTGGTGACCTTCTACCCCCACCAGTGGGTGAGACAAGACTTCTGAGTGCTGCTTCTCTTCTTGAGGGCTCTGCAGTGGATCTGACCTCTCTTCGGCCTTGGCCGTCTCAGGGCAGTGACAGGCAGAGTGGCAAATCTGTAGCCACAGGAGCTGCCCCAGCAGCTGGTGAGGAGGAGCCCGGGCACACTTCCTAATTCCAGGAATAGGGTTGAGGTGGGGTGGGGCTTAGGAGGGGGGTTACTTCACCCCCGGCCAGTCCTGTAGGCTGAGGAGGAAAGGGGGATGGGAGAGGCCAGGTGGCGGGGAGGCACCTCCTCCTTTAGACAGTTCTGGGGTTCGCAGCTGAGGGGCTCCCAGGGACCCCCCAACAGAGCTTCTACAATGCTAGGTTAGGGGTGGGAAGATGAAAGAGGAGGCAAGAAAGGGAGAGAAGGGTAGGGGACGTGAAGACTTGATCCCTAGTTAAACAAACACAGCCCTACCGAGTGATGTCAGCATCGCTGAAAAAAGTCGAGTGCTCTGTTGCCATAGGTGTGTATCAGCGCGCCCTGCCTCTCAAACAGTGTCAGCCCCTCTCCGCCTCCCATCCCCCACCCCCCACCGATCAGGGATAAACAGCAGGTGCCATGTGACAATATTAAGGAACAAAAGGGTGCCCCTGCTGCCTCCCCCTCTGTAGGGGGAAGGAGGGGCAGGTCCTGATTTACTGGAGAGACCTGGTTGGGGCGGGGGAGGGGGGGCTGTGGGGCTTAAGGGAAGAAGAGGGCCAGAAGGGAAGAGCATGCACAGTGTAGGAGAGGTGGGTGTGTGGACAGTTTCCAAGGCTTGGCAGGGAAATGGGGTCACATTTGGGGCAAGGGGGATCCAGGGTTTTTGCAGAGCTAAGGAGCCGGGGGTGGGGGGAGGACAAAGGGGAAACAGACTTTGTGTGTTTGGGCGGGGGGTTATGGGCTGAGCAGACTTCCTCCTGGGCTCCCTCGGGGCCCCTCATAGAACCTTAATTGCCCCTACAGTGAGTTTGTACAAAAGAAAGCCCACAGGCGTCTCTTCCCAGCCGTGTTTCTGACTAGGTCTGTCTCTGTCAGCAGAATACTTGGGACAGAGATGGCTCCGGCATGGTGCCCAAGTTAATGCATAGAAAGGCTTGGAACGGTGCCTGGCCGCGGTGAGCGTGCCACAGATCTGACCGTGGTGTTTTTATTATTACTTTCGTTACCCTGGAGGATTCTCTTCCT